TCCTCCTATATTTGGGACTCATTTAGCAGTGTGCATCAACTACCGAGAATTGAAACCCTAACAGTTTCTCTTTTACCCATGAGGACTGTGCCCCACGAGCCACAACTTCTATTCCCAAGTCGCTCAGTCCAGAGCATTAGAAGCCGGTTCCAGCTAGGATATACAGATAGAAATAATTAGGAGGATTTGAAATAGTCATAACTCGGATGAGTTCCACCACGGAATATATGATCGAGCGCCGCTATATCGAGTCTGATTTGCTACTTCTTCGTCACCGAGGCCCGTTGGAACAGTTGGTATGACGTTTGACTGATATTCTAACTGTCCCGGTTCCAATTCTCGGTAGTGTGTTGTATGTATATGTAATTTCAAAAAAAGAAGATGTATTTTGCTTTTGAAATTGAATTAAACGTTTACTCATCAGTATCTTTACAATCGCCTGAGGGGACACATTGTTATGCGTTGAAACACGACTGCAATTGTGTAGCGATTCTTACATGTTTTTGCTGTAATATCCTAAAATAAATAATGCACACACACACACACACACACACACACACACACACATATATATATATATATATATATATATATCTGTGTGTGTGTGTATGGCTTGAATATTGCGCTCAAGCATGAAGCAGACTGTCACCACTCATTAACTATCCCAGACATTGACTAATTTTACTCAGAAACATTGCATACCGTTAAAATATATACATATAACTATATCACAGACGGATACATATATGTGTGTGTGATTAATAAAAATGAATAACACCTACCAAAATATGTAAAAAATACAAGGATTTACATCATTTTAAAGGTAGCAAAATTTTTTCTTAAATTGTGCGTTGAGTGTATACAGTAACTATATGTATCTTGTATGGTGTGTGCGTGTGTGTGTTTGTGTGTGTTTGTGTGTGTGTGTGTATGGTCCAACTAGTGTGTTTTACCGCTAAGTGTGCATGGTGTGTATTTATGTGTGTGGGATATGATTTGTTTAGCACTGGTTTAAATTTTTCTATGAAGTTTTTCTTCTGGTATTTGGAGGTAATAGTAATGAATATATACACACATTCTGACAAAAACAAACTCACTAGACCGACCGGACGCACACGGACCCGACACACCATACAAAGTGTGTGTGTGTGATCCGGCGTCCTTTTAAATGGGCTCTGGTGAAATAAATTATTGTAATGGTACCTTAAAGTGGTCTGTTTTTTCTTTTAAATATTAGCTCTGGTTTTACATTGAGCTCTCAGGATTTCATCCTCCTTGGGATTACCCATACGGATTACCAAGTTATTCATAAGTTAACTATATATATATATATATATATATATATATATATATATATATATATATATATATATATTTATTTTTAAAGACATTTTATATTTTAACGTTGTTATGTCTTTAATAAATAAATTGAATGATATTTCTTAATATATATATATATATATATATATATATATATATATATATATATATATATATATATATACGAATACAAGGTTGGTATAGATGGAATAAACTTCCAGTAATCAAAAACAGTATTTTTAAAAAGTGCTCAATACAAAGTAGAGCGAATAATATTTATATAAAATTGTAACATAATCATGTTATATCATCACTACAAAAATAGCCATTTTGTTTCAACACTTCTAGTGTCTTGTCAAGGGATGGTGTTGCAAGTATATTATAGATTATTTTTTTATAGATACAAATATTCAAACAAATGCCCAGTTTAACCTGCAGCCTACAGGTTCGATTCCTGTTGGAGGACATATTTTCTATGAAATTTCATGGACATTCAGGTCGTTAATTGTTGTTAATACTGAGCATTTACTTAAATATTTGTAACTACAGAAATAACGTATAAGCAAAAAATATATTAAAATAATTGTCGGACTTAGTTCATTTCATAATACACACACACACACACACACACACACACACACACACATATATATATATATATATATATATATAGGTAGCACATAGGAACCCGCAACGAACGTGGTGAAAAATAAAAATGGACCCAAAGGTGCACGGCCAATGACCAGGTAATAGCCGACACATAGTTCTAAAAGCATCCGAGATGACTGTGGACATGGATCCCAGGGGGAGAAACTAAAAACGAAATTGACAACATAACTATCAACAAAAGATTCAGGAATGCAATAGTTCACTGCAAAACCTACCCAAGTGCTGACTTTGAAAGAAATCATCGTCCTGTTATATGTAAACTAAGAGTGAAACTATGGAAACTGAAGAAGCCTAACCAGCACCCAAAATTCTGAGCGACCCAAACCTGAAAGAAAATTCTATGGACAATGTGAAAATAGGATATGAGGGACACACTGGAAATGGAAATTCGAAATGGGACACACTAAGAGAAGCTTTAGTGACATCAGCAAATGATATTATCTCAAAGGAGAATGGACGAAGAAGGAAAAATGAATGGATGACTGAGATTCTCAACATGATGTGGAGGAAACAGAAAACTCTGTCAAGATACAGAATAGAGAAAACTACACAACAAAATAAGGACCAAATGCAGGCTGGCTAAAGAAGAGTAGCCAAATGTGCAGCAATAGAGAGATTGAGTAGCACAGACAAATGAGATATGTAATAACAAATAAAGGAAACTAACTGGACAGAAGAAATGTTTGTCAACAGGCTAAATAAAATCAAAAGATAGAACGCACATATTAGAGAAGGAAAAAATTATTCAGTGCTGGAACGAATATATTGGAGAACTCGTTCACGAAGAATGAGAACACCCGGCAATACACAGAACTACCGACGTTCCTGAAATTCTAAAAACCATAGAAGCTGAAATGAAGAAATTAAACAGAAACAAGTCGGCAGGACCAGAAGGAATTGTAAGAGAAATGCTGACAGCCTTAAATCATTTTGGCATAGAAAAAAAATCACAGAAATAATATCTGAAATCTAATAGAAGCTTTACTGATATTAGCAAACGATATCATCCCAAAGAAGAATGGACGAAGAAGAACGAATGGATGACTGATGAGATTCTCAACATGGTGCTGAGGAAACAGAAAACTCTGTCAAGATATGGAATGGAATACAGAAAACTACACAATGAAATAAGTACCAAATGCAGGCAGGCTGAAGAAGAGTGACTGGACGAAGATTTTACAGAAATAGCAACATTGAGTACCACAGACGAAGGAGATAGACATAAACAAATAAGAGAACTAACTGGAGAGAAGACATGTTTGTCAAAAGGCTGCATAAAATCCAAGAATGGAACTCTCCTATTAGAAAATTTCTTCGGCGATGGAACCCTTTTAGAAAACCCTTCCACGACGAAAGACACAGCAATACACAGAACTACTTATGGGTCTGAAATTCTACAAACCGAAGCAGAAACTGTAGTGACCAAATTGAACAGAAACAAATTACTCATATATATATATATATATATATATTTCATAAAATTGGAATTAAGATAGCATTAGTAAATGATCATTTTCACGCGCGAATTTTAAATTTAATTCCTCAGATTCCTTTTTAACAAACTGACGCCATAAAGACTTTGAAAAATCCTGTGAATTTTAAATTTAAAATTCGTACGTGAAAATGATCATTCAGTATTTTAATTTCAGTTCTACGAAATAATTTGCTCTGAAAATAAACATTAGACACTCTTTATAAGTCAGTTTTAAGAGTTTAAATTCTGTACCGTGTTAATAGGACTCACTTGGATTATACTAACGGATTTACTATATATATATATATATATATATATATATATATATATATATATATATATGGTTGGATTGATGTGAGTTTGGGACCCTGGGTTTCACGCTTTTGCAATTGTCAGACGATCAAAAAAGCGTGAAACACAGGGTCACAAATATGTTACCAAATATGTTAGCTCTATCTCTGATATTGAACGCTTTCTAATAAGTACCGCGCATATAATATATAAATAATATATATAATATATTAAACACACACACACATATATATATATACACACACACACACACCTATATATATATATATATATATATATATATATATATATATGGACATGCAGATTTAACCTAACTGTTAAAGCACAGAAAATGACAAAGATGAATATTATTCTATTCTTAGATGAGTCTGTTCGTGTTCAGTTTATCATGAGTCGAATTCTTTCAGTTTCACCCCAATGCTGGTATCACGTAACATGATATAACCTGTCACATATTATTTGAAGAGGCTATAACCTGATTTATACAAAAAAAAAGTGGAGAAAGGACCTAGAATTTCAGGCCGGCTATCTTCCCAGTCTTCGGAGATTTGATCCGATGAGTGTGTACGTGTGCATGAATTTAATCTAAAATTTGTCCAATAATTTTATCTTTGTTATTTTATGATTTGCAAAACGGGTAAATTTTATTTCACGCTTCCGAATTCTTGCAAATGGCTTTCCTCGTTGCAATTATTTGCCTTGCCTTGATGCTCCTGAACGTTGTGAACGATAAAACACATTTTAGCTAATTCGTCACGTTCTGCGAAAAATCTTCGAGGAATTCTATGAAAGAAATGGTGAGCGTGATGGCAAAAGGAATGGATTAAAAGCAAAGAAACATTTCAGGGAGAAAGAAAGAATGGAGGCGAAAAGGATGAAGAAAAGAAAGAAATAGCGGTGAGATGAGTATGGAATAAAATAAATCTGGCGTGAAATATAAAACGAAAATGAACGACGGGGAACGCTTGGAAATTAATCAAAAGAAAGACAAAAATACGATGAAAAAGATGGAGAAAAGAAAGACTGAAATGAATTTAAAGGAAGTCCAAAAAGAACTAGTAGAAGCTAGACAGAAAAGAGGTTGAAAAGAAACAATGATGGCAGCGAGGTACAAGATGCAGACGATAAAAAAGAAAACAAAAGAAAATGAAACGAAATGAGAATTTAAAGAGAGCGAAAGAAAAAAAGTTTTAAAGATATATAGACGAGAAAATAAAAAAGATACAGGAAAGACTAATAGAAAAAAGAAAGCAAAAAGAAATGACGTTTAAAAAGAGGGTAGAATCAGAGAATATTTGGAGATAGATATTAAAATTAAAGGAATACTTTTTAATCGGTGCAAGAATAAAATGCAGACAACTTGAAGACGTGAATGAAACAATAAAAAAGTTGAAATAAAATGAGTAAGAGACAATTAGGAGAGGAAGAAGAAACAAGATTTGTAAATAACTGACTGTGAGTAAAAGAGAGAGAGGTGGGGGGAGAGAGAGGGGGAGAGAAAGAAAGAAAGAGAAGATGACTGAAAGAAAGGACGATTAAAACAATCAAAGAGAAAATGTATAAGACAAAAGAAAGAAATAAAGAAAGAAAGAATGAATGAAAGAAAGAAAGGGAAATACAGCTCGATAGAAAGAAACAAATAAAGAGAAAGACAGCGTGAAAAGAAAGAAAGATAGAAAGAAAGAAAGAAAGAAAGAAAGTGTATAAATGAAAGAAAGAAACCAAGAGAAAAAGAAAACTTCAATGATGAAAAGAAACGAAGAAACAACGAAAAGGAACAGAAAGGCTTAAACCAAAGAAAGAAAGAAAGAAAGAAAGGAAGGAAAAATTGAGAAAGAAAGGAAAGAAATGGAGAATGCAAAAAAGAGAAACAAAGAAAAAGGTAGACAAAACAAAGACGGAGAACGAAAGGAAAAGAAAAAGATAAAGACAGAAAAAGAATGGAAGAAAAACAGAGGATGCAAGAAAGGGAAAGACAAAGGCAGAAAAGGATAGATAAAGAACGAGACAAAGAAGGAAAGAATAAGAAAAATAAAACGAACTCAGAGAGACAAAAAGGGTGAAAGAAATATAGGACATGAAATGCAAGAAAGAAAGACAATGGTAGACCAAGAATAGAATAACGAAAATCCGAAGAAATAAAAATGGAAAAACGAACGAGTCGAATAAGTATCGAAAGATGAAAAAAAGCATGTTGGCAAAAAGAATTGTGTATACATGTTAAAAAAAAAGAACAAAATCCTATTTTCTAGTTTTCATCTGTCGTTTGACCCAAAGGTTATTTGCAAAACATATATAAGCGTAATCCTGACCAACACGATGCATAGTCATAGGTAAATAAACTAAATGCCGCTCATCTGGGAGCTGTAAAGAATGGAAGAAAAAGGAAGACGAATTAAACCGATGTGGGCACATCTTCGCTTTTTGGAATACATAGAACTAGCAGCATGGCCCGGCATTGCCCGTGCTTGATTCAAAAATCGTAAGACTCATACAGCAATCGCTATCACTTGACTTAAAATATTTTTGCACTTCCTTGCCTTTAAAGGAGTACCCTTTCCGTGCTGATGTTGCTACATGCCTTACATCTTGCCTATCTCACATTGCGAATTTTTTCTAAGATCTATACTAAACATTAAATCTGTTACGAAAAAAGAACTAAACAAAATGAACACAAAACGATCAGCTTTAAAAAAAGGACTCGTAACTGGAAAAACCGAATGAAAAAAGAATGTTAACAACAAATACTTTTTCACACCCAACCCAGTTCTGCGGAATCAGAATCAACGTTGAGTTTAAGCAAGCGAATGAACCAATTGGAGTAAAGTGTCATGCAGATTTAAATTTTTCCCACTTGTGACGAATTCGTGTCAGTCAGCTGTTGGCTCTCACGCTGGCCAATAGAATCTTCCTGCCTATTCGTGGAAGCCAGCTATAGGCTCTTACTCTGGCCAGTACAAAATGGCCGCAAACTACATTGAAAAGTGCCGTAGAAGCATGAAAAAATCGATTATTTCCACTATCGATTGGAGGTGGGAAATGCAATGTCGGTCTTGGCCGTCCTTCTAACTTGGAGCATGTGCATGTAAATTTTGGTGCAAATCCGTCGAAAGTTGCGGCCGTGCATTCGTTACACACACACACACACACACACACACACACACACACACACACACACACACACACACACATCCTGCTTTTTATAGATAATGATTTGCACGCACTTCTACACAAACATACATGCACTAAAATACGGTCTAGTAAAAATGATGAGAACAAAAATTGCCGAATATGGAAGCATAGGACATTTTCATTTTGTAGAAACATATCTAATCGATGTAGCTTTTGAGATCTTAAGAAAGTAATTATGAACATAGCAAGGGTTAGTAAATAGTTTAGTACATACCTACTTTATGCTTGTGTGGCCAGCCAGAAGTCCTGGCTTAACACTCAGAGACTTTTTTTCTTTGGGGTTAGTTAAAGGAGAAAGTTGACTATTCGAAACCAAGAATTTGGCAGAACTTGAAGGGCGAATATAAGAAGTTATGCGTCCTGGGTAAGACGATAAACTACACCCGGCAGCAAAGCCTCTGAGCGGGAGGTTTTGAGGAACGTCGAACCACCTCTTAATTGTTGGCATTCCCAGGTCCACTCTGACCCAGGTGGTAGAAAATCTTATTTAGCAAAATGTTATGGGCAAATAGTTGATATAGACAAATTTAAAAACACTATGAAAGTGTAAAAATAGGTTTAATACCAGCAATACATTTCTGCAAAAAAATTATTACAAGAAATGAATTTTTTTAAAAAAAGATTACCAGCAATATATTATTACCAGCAATACATTTTTGAAAAACAATATTACCAGCAATACATTTTTGGGGAAAAAATACCAGCAAAAATCTTGTCAGCATTAAATAACCCATTGAGGTTGATATACCGTAGAACTAAACAAACCAACCAAGAAGTTATGTCTTCAGAACTACAAGAGTTCCTTGTGAAATCAGTTGGCACGATTCCTGTGCAGCACGAGAAGCTGGTAGCGAAATCTGTGCCGGTTTCGAATTTGAAATAAAACCTCATACTAAACGTTTTCTATTCTCATATTCATTTCTTGTAAAAATTATAGTTAATAAATAAATTCTATGGATTTTAAAATGGGAAGTTACATTTAAATCACACTTTATATCAGTTGACAATTTGTTAAGTTCACTATTCAACAAAATGCTTAATAGATGCAAACTCTTTACCGAAACAAATATTGGGAAAAAAAATAAATAAAAAATTTAAAAAATAAGCAAAATAAGATATTTCTGTCTTTACCTAAAACTAAAATACATGAAACTCCGCGGATGAAACACAGAAGAGGGAGAGAACACAGATGATGGCAATACTGAAAGAAGAACCCACAGAGTGGGTGAACCCTTAAGGAGTCTAGTTTGAACAGGGCTAAGGCGCCGATATCCTAAGTAGCTTACATTTCGTTATTATTAAATTTGATGTGGCCTTTCTAGACAGATCTTGTAAGCAAGTATAAGACGGGTGCTGAAAAGTCCTCAGCCTTAATAATAAAATTTTATGCTTGATCATTTAGTCAGGTTTGGAAAAATGGGTCGAACCGATAAATTTGCGGCCTGATTTCAAATTTGGTACAAATAAAATCATTCGGGTTTCATTCAATATCAAGGAAAAGTTTATGTTGAGAAATTATGACAATAACCAATATTGACTCATTCATTAAATAATTTCATTTATTTAAATGCAAACATGACAGACATTATTTAATCAATATTATTAATATATGTTGTTCTTATATTTTGTGCCATACCATTTAATCAGGGTTTATTGGCATTATTAAAATGGCGGAGATTTGCACAGGAATGAAAGAAAAGAACTCAGAACAAGGAAGAAAAAAGAAAAGAAGCTAAAAAAAAAAAAGAGAGAACGAAAAAAGAAACAATAGAAAAAGTAAAGAAATAACATCTCAGGTGAATAATTATAATGATAATTTATCAAAGGTATAAACGAATGATATATATATATATATATATATATATATATATATATATATATATATATATATATATATACATTCATTTTATAGATACACATATTTAAGTAAATGCTCTGTTTATAATAAACAGTATTAACAACATTTACCGGCCTGAATGTCCGAGAAATTTTCATAGAAAATATTCGTCCACCGACAGGATTCGATCCTGTATCCTATAAGGAACCGTCATATAGCCTGACGTGCCTTAACCGATTTGGCCACAGAGGAGCGTTCGGTTAGCAGGGTCGATTTTACCGGGGTTTTTTTGTTTTTTTTTAAAATTTATTTTACTGTTCCGTATAGGATACAGGTACGACTCCTCTTGGAGGACACATATTTTCTATGAAACTACAAATCTTCCATGATTCTCTCACGTACATTCATATCTGCTCGATGCATATCCAAATGTAAACAAATGATGTCACACATTATGAAATGGACAAAGGATTGACAATTATTTTAACATATTTTATGTTAAAATAATTGTCGGACTTATCCATTTCATTTATTATATATATATATATATATATATATATATATATATATAGATATATATAGAGATATATAGAGAAATAGATAAAAAATGTAAAACAAGAAAAAAAAGCGGCTAAAATGAATAGACAAAAAAAAAGTGCTCAAAATAAAATTCAAAATATTTACCCTCTCACTTCCGGTGTTATGGTATATTGGAGTAGTTTTCTTTGGCTTGTACGTCCTCCCACTTGCCTGGGATACGTTACGCTCGTGACCTAGGTTGCGTGGTTGGTTAGCATTTTAGCCTTTTCTCATATATATATATATATATATATATATATATATATATTAGGAAGATTTGATGATTATAATTCATCTCGTCTGAAAGAAACCTCAACAGAATGCAGAAAGTACTGGACGGCCGTTTCCATGATAGACTCGATGAATTACTTAATTATAATTATCAAATTCTCCTAAGAATTTCTATCATTTGTATGTCATTGCTTGAACTGGCTTCTAATGCTCTAGAGTCAGTGGCTTGGTGATAGTAGTCGTGGCTCCAGGGGGGCACAGTCCTATGGTTAGAGAGAATCTCAGTAGAGTTCAACCACGGAATATGTGAGCGAGGGTCGCTATACTGAGTCTGATTTGCAATCTCTTCGTCATCGAGGCCCGTTGAAACAGTTGGTATGATGTTTGTTTGCCAACCTGTCAGGGTTTCAATTCTCGGTAGTGGATGCGCACTGCTGATGAGTCCCAAATATAGAACGAAACGGCCGTCCAGTGCTTTCTGCATTCTGTTAAGGTTTCTTTCAGACTCAGATGAATTACTTAATTATATATATATATATATATATATATATATATATATATATATATATATATATGTACACGTTTGAAAAACCTCTGGATATCTCAAATTGCAGTAGAACAAATTGGTATTAAAATTGAGGAAAATGGGGAAAAAAAAAAAAGAAAAACCAAGAACATTAAAACAAGGCGCAAACAATCGTCCAGTGTTTAAGCTCCAAGTCCAAAGAAAAAAAACCCCAAAACGAGTAAAAAGACAACTACGTAAAGTGCTCAATATACTAAGTAGAACAAAACCTAAGAGAATCCCAAGGAAAACCTACGATTATTTTTCCAGACATATACCCGGTTTATGTTTTCTGTTTCCTTTTTGAATTTGTAGGTCTGATGAATTGGATCGTGATTACGATTCCAATGTAATAAATTATAACCATGGAATATTAGTGTTTGAACCTTTTATATTACTATTCTTATATATCTGTACTGTACATTGATTCTACCATGGATTTTATAGATCTTATATATATATATATATATATATATATATATATATATATATATGTGTGTGTGTGTGTGTGTTTTTGTGTGTGTGTGTGTGTGCACATTTCATTGAATACGTCAGACAAAAATACTTTTTATTCATTATATATTATTATTATTATATACTATTTTATTTAGTTTTTATACGATTTCTCATATATTAATAATGAAATACAAAATAAAAGAAGGATTGCTACCTAAATACACATTTTATATATATATATATATTATTACCACTGATATCACAATATATATATATATATATATATATATATATATATATATATATATTTAAAAGCCACTATTTTATATAAAAAAGGTTACTGAGAATAAAAGAATAAAATAGAGAAACATTATGTAACGAGAACAATTTTTTTATAATCAAGAAGAAATTCTTATAACGATTGATTTTCAATATATAAATTTTTGAGGATCAAATTGACTGTAAAGCTTGAAGCCGGAAGCGAATTCCACAAGCGAGAAGTGCGAGTGAAGAAACTATTAGTATAGAACTTACGGTTACATCATCTCGCAAATTCAACTGACGGGACCTTTGCTGCCAATCTAATACTGCGCTTAAATTCATAAGGTGAGTTCATCAGACCAATGACCATGAAAATATTTATAGAAAATGCTTAGGGAAGCTACATTACGGCGGTTGAGAAGCAACTGAAGCCGAGACACCAGATTAAGACCAATAATATTGCTGATTTTTAGAGATTTTATCAAGAAACTCTAAATGTACAGAAACAGTGCCGGACCATATAGTAGTTCTTTGTTTATTTGTCTTAAGAATGTTGGTAGTATTTTTCCATTCATTTCTTAAATTTATCTGCATTATTTACGACTAGAGGAGATACCCGGCATTCCTCGTAAGATCCCTGATTGATAGTTTATTATTGATAATTTATTGATATTTTTTGCCATCTTATGGAAAATAAGTTTTATTCAATCTTTAAAAATAAACTTCAATGTTTTTTTTTGTTGTTTTGGTTTGTTACAAAATAATTAAATTTCGAAATATAACACACTAGCAATACCAAGTTAATAAACTTAAATTAAGATATATTTAAACATATTTAAGTTAGTCATTTTTCTCAAGCAAAAACAATAGCGAGCCTTACTTTTTTGACAAAATAATTATTTAGTATTTATTTTGGAGGGGAATTTAGGTTTTATGTAAACAAACCTTTACTTTAGAACATTAATTACCAACTATTTTGAAAGAGAGTCGAAGCAAAATACATTAAGAATTTAGTTTTGAAAAGCGGTTATGTTTAAATTCCAAATTATATTTGTATTTGGAAAGAAAAAAATCTTTAGTTAAATAAAAAGTAGAAGAGACAGACATCATTTACGGTCAATATTAATTGTGTTGAATATTTGTTTTTCGATTTTAAATATTATTTAAATTAATGTTCGAAAAAATAAGGCTCGCTATAGTTTTTGCTTTAATAAAACTTTAAAATTATTTACTTTTTCATGTTAGTTATAAACCAAAAAAAAATTAACAAAGAAGTTTATTTTTAAAAGATTGAATAAAAATATTTTCCATGCGATGGCCGAAAAATATTAATAAGTCAATGATAAACACATACAAAGAATTACGCTTTGAGATGATACTGAGTCTGTATATTTATTTTGTAGTCAGACAAACAAACAAACACACAAACACACACACACACACACACACACACACACACACACAAATATTTGAATAAATAAATATTAAACTTTTTTGTCAAATAATTGTATTTAATATTCTTCTTCATTTAAATTTAATTTGTTGTTTTAATATTCATTTTTTTAAAGTTATGCTTTTATTTACTGTAGATGTGAAAATAAATTCAAGAGAATAGAAATTTTAAAAATACATACATGTATAGTGTTTAGCAGAATAAAAAAAAGTAAAACGAACGGTAATACTAATCTTGAATATGAATTATTAAAGTTCGTTTTTACTTTTTAATTCGGAGAATTTTGAATGCATTCTACAGCATTTTAATTTTAAAGTATCTTCTTAGATACAAATAATACGATGATATTTTTTTTTTACAAACAGCTGTATTGGGTGATAATGAGTCTATATATTTACTTTGTCATAATATTGTAGTTTTTTTAGTCGGTAGATCACACACAAACAGACACCTGTAGATTCAATATAGAATAGTTTTTGGTTATTGCCAGTTCGATTAAAAATAACAACAAAATTAGACTGATCAGTTTTCCTAATTATAATATCCCCTGGGTTTCGGCAAATACATTTTTGTAAAATGAATATTTGAAGAAAAAATTATTACCAGTAATACATTTTTGGGAAAAAATATTAGCAGCAATAAAAGTCTTGTCGACATTAAATAACCCATTGAGATGTTGATATGCCGTACTCTCTCACAGACGCGCCGTTTTCACGCTCTCACAGATCTCTCTGTCTTTTTTACAAAATACTTTCATGGTAATTAAACATGATGAGCTGCTTTCGCTGGTTCCCAGACTTCATGAATTCAAGCGCCCTACAAGGCTGGCATCCCGCTCCCACCCTTACACTGTAGAAACTTTTTAAATGTAGCCTCTCTCTTCTATCCCAATAGCTTCATACCTCGCACCTCTCGCCTGTGGAACACCCTTCCCAATTTGATTTCCCTGACAGCTATAATCTCCAACTATTCAAATGTAATGTCAATCGACATCTCCAGTTACCTTGATCTATACACTATCCCTCTCCTCATCCTTTCTTCTATCCTCCTATCTGCTCTGCTCCAAATCTTCTGCAACCCCCCTGCATTATAGTGGCTTCCCGCCTTGCTGGGGTGATTTAATAAAATAAAAAAAATCAAACCAAACCAAATAAATTTGTTGGTTGATGGGTTAATTTTTTTCTTTTTTATCAGCCTTTTATTTTTATTGTAATTTTTAGAATTATTAATTTTTAATTAGTAAGAATTTTTTTGGATACATAATGGTTTATTTTGATACAGATTTTACTAATTAACCCATATTGCGGGGATTTATGTGGATTGTTCCTCCTTTCCTTAGGGTGTTTGAGTATAAATGAATATGACGAACTCCGATTAAAAAAAAGGAAGCCATGATCTACTGCACCACCCGCACATCCTAGCTCACAGCACCTGGTATTCCCAAGCGGTTACTCATCTAGGTACTGACCAGGCACGACGTTGCTTAACTTCGGTGTTCTTACGGGGTCTGAGGTTTCAGCGTGATTTTTTTTTTTCCTAGTTTTGAGACTCTCATGACTATCGCTGCATATTTTTCAGAATAAAATTAACAAATTCAATAAATTATGAAAAAAAGATTTGAAAAAATGACGACATGAGAGAAACGACTTCAAGAAGAACATTTCAGGATGTAATTTTCAAAGAATAAAATCGATTAAAAATAAAATATGCCATCGATTTCCAAACAGAAGAGATGCAGTAATTTAGAGAGAAGAATCTTGAAGACAAATGCCTTACGCTTTCCAATTGCTTTTTAAATAGTTTCTGACTGGAATTTAATTGAAAGAATTCAAAAAACAAATATTTTCCTTTCTTTTTTTTTTTTTAAAAATTTAATGAATCCATAAATTTTTTTCATTTTGTTTTTTTTGAGGCAGACAAAGAACTGCCATTTTTAAATTTTGATCTTTAAGAAAAAAAAGATTTAAGAAAAAGAAAAAGGGATACATAAGAAATAATTTAAAATTTGGAATTTTTTTCTAGCCTACTAATTCCAAATTTTTTTCTATTTTCTTTTTTTTCTTTCTTTCATTTTTTTTTTTGGATTTTTTATTTTTTCTTTCTTAAACATTTTCCTTTCATCATTTTCCAAAACTTTTCTTTTTTTTTTTTTTATTGCATTCTATTTTTTTTTATGAAATTCATTTTGGAGTTTTTTTGGAAATTTTGTTTTTCCTTCCCATTTTCTTCATCTTCTATTTTTTTTTTTTTTTTTTTTGCAACCGACCTTTTTTTCTTTTTTCATTTTGGAGTTTTTCTTTTTTTTTTCTCCTTCCCATTTTCTTCATTCAATTCTTTTTTTTTTCTTTGCATTTCATTTTTTTTCTTTTTTCATTTTGGAGTTTTAAAAAAAATTTGATTTTTCCCATTTTTAAAATATTTTTTTCTTTCTTTATTGCATTCATTTTTTTTTTTTCATTTTGAGTTTTTTCTTCTTTTTTCTTTTATCCTTCTTTATTTATCATCATCATTTTTTGTCTTCTTTTTAATTCATTATCAAACTCTTTTTTTTTGAGTTTTTTTTTTTCTTTTTTCCCATTTTCTTCATTTTTTTTTGTTTTTTTTTTTTTTTTTTTTTTCATTTCATTTTCTTTCTATTTTTGGATTTTTTTCTTTTGTTTCTTTCTCCTTTTTTTTTTTTTTCATCATTCTTTTTTTTTTGAATTCATTCATTTTCTTTTATTTTTTCATTTTGGATTTTTTTCTTTTCAAAAACTTTACCTTCCCATTTTCTTCATCTTTTTTTTTAAAATTTCAATCACTTTATTTCATTTCATTCTTTCTTTTTTTCTTTTTCTTTTTATTTCTTTCCATTTCCATTTATTTTCTTCATCAAAATCATTTTTTTTTTTTCTTTCAATATTCATTTTTTTTTTTTTTTTTTCCATTTTATTTCATATCATCACAATTTTTGTTTCCTCATCCCATTTGTTTCTTTTTTCATTTTTTTTTCTTTTTTTTTATTTTTCTTTTTTATTTTCATTTCATAACTTTTTTTTTTATTTTTCTTCATTTCTTTTTTTTTTTCTTTTTAATTTTCTTTCCATTTTATTATCATCATCACCATCAAAATTTTTCTTTTTTCTTTAACATTTTCATTTTTTTTTATTCTTTTCTTTCTTTTTTTTATTTTCTTTAATTTTTTTTTTTCTCTTCTTTTTCTTCAATTTCTTTTTCATTTCTTTTCATTTTATTTTCATTTGTTTTTTTTATTTATTCTTTTTTCATTTTCTTCATCTTGAAATTCTTTTTTTCTTTCCATTTCTTATCATTATCATTCATTTCATTTTTTTCTTTCATTCTTCATCTAAAAAATTTTCTTTCCATTTGAATTTTCAAAATCACCATCATCATTTTTTTTTTTTTATTTCATTCTTTTTTTTCTTTTTTCATTTTTCTTTATTTTCACCATCATCATTTTTTTTTGTCAATCTTCATTTTTTCTTTTCATTTCTTTTCTTTTATTTCATCATCACCATCAAAATTTTTTTTCATTTTCTTTCATTTTTTCTTTTTTTTTTTCCAAAATTTTTTTTTATTTTATTTTTTTTCTTCTTTTTTTTTCTCTTTTTTTTCTTTCTTTCTTTCATTTTTTTTTCTTTTCTTTTTCCATTTTTACTTTTTTTCTTCTTTCATCTTTCTTTTCATCTTCTTTCTTCAATTTTATTATTTTAAACCATTCTTTTCTTTTTTTTCTTTTTTTCTTTTTTCTTTTTTTTCTTTCTTTTTTTTATCATTTTCATTTTTTCTTCTTTTTTTTTTTCATTTTTTTTATTTTTTTTTTCCATTTTATTTTTCTTTTTTTTCTTTTTTCTTTTTTTTTCATCTTATTCTTTTCTATTTTTTTCATTTTTTTTTTTTTTATTCATTTTTTTTCATTTCATGAATTTTTTTTTTTTCTTTCTTTTTTTTCTTTTTTCTTCCCATTATTATCTTTTATTTTTTTTTCTTTTTCTTCCATTTCTTTCACCTTATTTCTTTTTGAATTTCTTTTTTTTATTTTTATTTTTCTTTTCATATTTTGAAAAAATTTTAAATTCATTTTCATCTTTTTTTTTTTTTTTTTTTATTCAGTTTTACTTTCATTTCTTTCATGAACATTTTAAAAATTTTTTCTTTTTTTTTCTTTCTTCCTTCATCTTTTTTTCATTTCATTTTTTTTTTTTTTTTCTTTCATTCATTTCTTTTTTTTTCAAAATTAATATTTAGATTTTTTAAGACAAACTCTTTATATTTTTCTTTTTTTTATTTTTTTTTTTTATATTTTAAATTTTTTTTTTTCTTTTTCTTCATTTTCTTTTTTTTTATTTTTTATTTTTTTTCTCCTTCCCATTTTTTCATATTTCTATTCTTTTTTTTTTTCTTTTTTTTTTATTTCAATCAAAATCTTTATTTTTTTGGAGTTTTTTTTCTTTTTTTTTTTCTTTCTTTCATTTTCTTTTAAATTATTCTTTTTTTTTTCTTTATTTTTTCATTTTTTTCTTTCTTTTCATTTCCTTTTTTTTTTTCTCATTTTATTTCTTTTCCTTCCTTTTTTTCATTTTATTTTTTTTTTTTTCTTTTTAAATATTCATTTTCTTTTCTTTCTTTTTTTTGTGTTTTTTTATTTTATTTCTTTTTCTTTTTTTTTTTTATATTTATAATTTTTCTAAAATTTTTTTTATTTCACCAAATTTTCTTTTCTTTCATTTTGGAAATTTCTTCTTTATTTTTTTTTCCTTTTTTCTTTTCTTTATTCTTTTTTCTTTTATTTTTATCATATTCATTTTCTAATTTTCATTTTTTTTTTATTCATTTTTTTTTTTCTTTTATGAAAAAATTTTATTCTTTTTTAAAATTTTTTATTTTTTTTTTTTTCTTTTTCATTTTTCTTTTTTTTTCTCGATTGATTTTCTTTTCTCCTTCCCATTTTCTTCATCTTCTATTTTTTTAAAATTTTTTTTTTTTTCATTTCTTTTCTTTCTTTTCTTTTTGGAGTTTTTTTCTTTTTTTTTTTTTTCATTTTTATTTTCTTCATCTTCTATTTTTTTTCTTTTCTTTCTTGCATTCATTTTCTTTTTTTTTCTTTTTTCATTTTGATCTTTTTTTTTATTATTTTTTTTTTTTCCCATTTTTTTTTATCTTTTTATTCTTTTTTTCTTTTTTCATTGCATTCATTTTTTTTTCTTTTTTTCATTTTGAGTTTTTTTTCTTCTTTTTTTTTTTTTCCCATTTCTTTCATCTTTATTTTTTTTTTTTTCTTTATTCATTCATTTTTTCTTTTATTTTCATTTTTTTTTTTTTCTTTTTATTTTTTCTCATTCTTTTTTTTTCAACATTTTTATTCTTTTTCTTTTCTTTCTTGCATTCATTTCTTTTCTTTTTTTTCATTTCTTTTTTTTTCCATTTTCTTTTTCTCTTTCTTTTCCCATTTTCTTTTCTTCTATCCTTTTTTTTTTCTTTCCTTTTTTAATTTTTTTCTTTCTTTCTTTTTTTTTTTTTTTTTTTTTATCCTTTTTTTTTTTTCATCTTTTCTTCTTTTTTTCTTTTTTTTCTTCATTCATTTTTTTTTTTCTTTTTTTTTTTTTTTTTTTCTTTTAAATTTTTTTTTCCCATTTTCTTCATTTTCTTTTTTTTCTTTTCTTTTTTCATTCATTTCTTTTCTTTTTTTCATTTTTTTTTTCTTTATTTCTTTTTCCTTCCCATTTTTCTTTATTTTTTTTTTTTCAGCGGGGGAAATTGCATTCCTTTTTTCTTTTCTTTCTTCATTTTCTTTTTTTCATTTCTTTATTTCTTTTCCTTCCCATTTTCTATCATTTTTCTATTTTTTTTCTTTATTTTTTGCAACATTTTAATTTAAATTTTCTTTTTCTTTTCACATTTTTTTTTCTTTTTTTTTCTTTTCCTTCCCATTTTCTTCTAAATTTTTTTTTTTTTTCTTTTCTTTCATTCATTCCATTTTTCTTTCTTTTTTCATTTTGGATTTTTTTTTTCTTTTTTTTTTTCTTTCTTCTTTCATTTTTTTTTTTTCATTTTTATTTTTTTCTTTTTTTCTTTCATTCATTTTTTTTTTTTTTTTCTTTTCTTTTTTTTTTTTTTTTCTTTCTTTCTTTCTTCCCATTTCTTTTCTTCTTTTCTTTTATTCTTTTTCTTTTATTGTATCTTTTTTTTTTTTTCTTTCATTTTGAGTTTTTTTTTTTTTTTATTTCTTTCTCCTTCAAATTTTCTTTTTCTTTCTTCTATTCTTTTTTTTTTTTTTCTTTTTTTCTTTTTTTTTCTTTCATTTTTTTTTTTTCTTTCATTTTTATTTCTTTCTTCTTCCCATTTTCTTCATCTTCTATTATTTTTTTTTTTTCTTTCTTTCTATTGCATTCATTTTTTTTCTTTTTCATTTTTTTTTTTTTGATTTTATTTTTTTTTCTTGAATTTTCTTTCTTTTTTTTTTTTTTCTTTTTTTTTATTCATTCATCTTTTTTTCTTTTCTTTTCATTTTGATTTTTT